ATTCCTGTGCCTACAATGTAAGTTCCCACACTTTGGTTGATAAAGCGTCCTAGCATCTCCGCGGTCTTATACATGTTGGCGAGAGCTTATCTTGGTACAGGGTGAGACTTGACGCGGCCATAAGCCATCCACTGCTCAACAAGCATGTCGCCATGAACAGGCTCAAACTCTCGTACCTCGACGTCATATGGGGCATCAAGATATATCTGAGAGATGGTGATCGTCTCAATTCGATCAGAAGCCCAATGTTGGATGTCAAGAATATCCATGCTTTGCCAGCGCTTGGAAAAGAGTTGATAAGGCCGAGACTGCTCACGATAAAGTGATGAATCTGTAATTATCCAGCGGAGACACGGCATCTTGTGGATCGTGGGTGCCTGTAGGCACTGACACGTTAAGCAAATGCCCTTCAAAGCCTTCGGGTCAGGCTCGCACTTCGAAAACAATTAGCTTGGACTTAGTCTGATCCTGGACTCCTGAGTAGACCAGATTAAGAATACATTGGGAGGATGGATGTGGCACTGTAGTTCTTACACGTATTCGCAACATGCGGCATCGCATGCAGCCCCGCGACTTTCTTGTTAATGCCGTCTGGATACGTTGCTCTTGGTCTTGAAAAGGCCCCCGCTTTACTTGCGCCCTACTTGTCTGAGCAGGTGTAGCGTTGGTCTTAGCTTTCGGGCCGGTAGCTGAAGGGGCTTTGCTCGTGCGCTTCTTGCGAGGTTTCTGTATACCATGAAATCAGTAACAGTCACACCAGTGCAGATGAATTCCACTAGTTCACTGTCGGTGTACCTTTGGCAATACCCAAACCTTGCTACATGGTCCTTGGTGTTCTTGTCCTTCAGTTTCGACTGTAATGCCATCTGTTCGCCCTTGGCCACCGGAAACAAGGAAAGTCAGATGTCTCGCGGTCGACGCCCGGCAGCTCATTTCCGGTGTCCTTTGGAGGCTTATTTGAATGCTGGCTGGCGATGTGGTTGATCGCGAAGCAAGACTGTTTAACGATGAATCATGTGCGGGTATCGTCTCACGGAGGTCATTAGGAAACAGTGTACGCAAAGACCGAGGATACTCAGGGCGAGACCGTAACGCTCTGGCCCCTTGTTGATTTGATGGTTTGTCGGTGGCTGCCGGGAACGGGCCTGCCAATGCGTGCCGTGGACTCCCCGACGTAGAAAGGCCGCTCCGTTCACAAGTTTGCAAGTCCTCCAAGAGCAACAGAACCTGGGTATCAGAAGTTATCGTATCGTCATGGTATCTCGTTTCGGGCCAAGAAATAGCCTGTGTTTCGTCATCATCTATCGCCGCTGTCTTTGCTGCGTCGTAATGATTGCCCAAATTAGTGTCGATCGAGGTGGTCGTATTAGACGGTGCGTCGACTAATACTTCCCCAGTAGCCCGGATGTGGCTTGCAGGAGCTGAACAGCATGTGCGCGTGTATCAATTGTACTCTGTTTCAGCTCAGTGTTTTGCACCGTTGAATGTACACCGCCTAGGGAGTCCTGCCATTTTGATGACTTCCTCATCGAATGCCCTGGTATATTATCTAGATCTCATTGGCCTGATACCAGCCTTCTTCACGTGCTTGTATAATTTTGTGCAATTGCAGAAGATCAGTATTTGTTGGGGGTCAAGGGTCTGAGACATGAGGGTGCCTGGAACTAAGCTACAGGAGCTGCCAGGGCACAGGCCAGCACTGAGTGAATGCCCTGGAAGCCCCAGGTGAATACCGCCAACAGTATTGACTTGGGCTGACTGATTGGCTGAAAAATCAGGCTGGTTCTTAAGGCGCTGTCAATCCTGCCTTGGATTTCCCAATGACGCAGCTGTCGAGGAGGTCTCTCATCGAGTCTTTGAATTGCGCTCACGTAATTGGCTATCAATAGGCGGATCGCGTCGCATTTATCGATTCAAGAGCGCGTGAAGACTGATCTTATCATTTGATTCGATGGACCTTTACCAGTCGGGACAGAGGCAGACGGCAAATATCGCAGCCCAACACCAAGAGTCTAGACTCAGAGCCTCAGCATGGAGCCCACACAGCTGGCTGGCCAATCATTGATGATTTACTCTCCATATCCGATGAAGGACCCGAGTTGAACGTCGTATTGACGCACGTCGTTGATCCGTGAGATGTCTGTTTGCGTGACAATTATGGCACTGACATCCATGGGAGGGCTACAACTAAACCCTTCTAGCTTTCGAGGCCGAGAATGAAATATTCTTAAATATCACCTCAGGAACGGGGTCTCGAGGTGTGAGAAGCTGGCTCATCTGCTCACTTCATATCACATCTAAGTCTCAGCTCATGTCGCCCAACCTTGTCCTCCTGAATCTACGAAACAATCTCGAGTGCCATCATGCCACGCAACAGCTCGTCCCAGCAACCTGCGCCTTACACCGCACTTATCCGAAGCAATGGCAAGTTTTATTGTCTCGAAACCCCCTACAGTGACGCCGAGACCTTTTGGTAGACTTAGCTGACAGGCGAAGGAACCTTCGAACCTCGCGACTTCAATCCGGTTCATCCCACCGTGACAGTCGGTGCGAATCGAAGCACAACTGCTGCTGTGGCATCGGGAACGCCCAACCCGGAACAGATGCCGCGTCAAAATGCTCACACGAGCTCGAATGCTAGTACGAGCTCAGCAGACCAGGCCGAGATGCTCGCCGGCGTGGGTGCTTGGGCCACGGATCCTTCCAAATGATCTACAATGCTGAGCGATGGGTGGATGCTTTATCTGTAAGCTTGACATACTTCAGACATGGCCCCGAAAGCTTGCAATTTACGCAGGATGTTAACAGTACCCAGGAAACCGCCCTCACTGCTGACGAATAGTCGGTGTTTGCAGGCAAGTTGGTGTTGTCATTTCTTTGGATCCTTTTATAGAAAAGCCTGTGTCACGGTCGAGACAGGGGGTTCGTGTGGGGGTGGGCGGGGGTGGCGCCGGGGAAGAAGGGACCATGGTTGCATTCTTCATCATGCTTGTGTTTGGGAGACAGGGCTGGAAATGCAATGCATAGGGGGGGAATTCGTTTAACGAGGATATTCATTATTAAAGGGTCACCTAATAACCATTTTTAGCATCTATTAACTTAACTAATATAACCACTGTTGAGAGGGCTTCACTGCTTATGTGAACCCTGATTCATTACTTTAGCTATACCTGAGAGCTCTAAATACGTAGGGTAGGTGATATATATCTTCTATCCCCCTTTTTCCTATCTCTATAGATTATAGTTACCCTCGTAAAGTAGATATACCTATTTAATTCACCGATTACGTAAACTATAATTCACGTACTCTTAAGAGCTATAAATCCGTAGCTATAGTAATTACTAGGTCGGTAATCCCTTATCGGGATTACTGCCCTAGTGAATTCCCTAATATTAATTTAATACTAACTCTCTTTTCTTTACGGATAGAATAGCTATAAGAACTAATATT